ACGATTCAACGTGATCGCATGCAGAGGTAGTCGCGATCCGTACGTGTACCCTCAATGTAGGGGTTCAGCCTTCCTCGAGTTCACCTAGCGCCACGGGATACCCATGCAGCCATGGGTGCATCGAATAGGTGAGCTGTTGTTCGATATAGCATGCCAATAAGCGTCGCACCGAGACGACAACAATTTTCGTCACGGCCATTCGTAGATACTAGTGCATAAAATTAGGAACGTGAGCTGAGATGACGCCCAGCGCTCGAGATGTGAGCAGGTGGTGGTCAGTGCACCGGCGGCCCCAGGGCTCCCGAGGTCTGGCTTGCGCTCAGCTAGCACCCAGGCTATCTTCAGTTCCTTATTACTCACACGACAGCCTACCTAGGTATATAGCCGTTGGCCTTGAGCTGCTGATGGTGTCTCGAAAGTGGACGTTATCGCTGATGAGGTCCTGGTCGACTGACGTCCGTTTCATGCAACGACCACGCGGTCGAAGAGCCCAGCATTGCATCTCACATACTGCTACACTGTCAGATTCTGGGTAGCCAAGCCTTTCGAATGTACCTGAAGATCTTAGTTGGAAAAGCTAACTGAATGACTGAGATTATGTTGTCGTTCATGCTGTTGCCGTGAAGATGCTTTCCAGTTCCTGCTCAAAGTATGTCACCGATTAGTCATTCTTTCACTCTCGGACTGCTTTTACGAGCCCAAGGGGTGTGTATCGCCATGTTATACATGGCAAACAATGAAGCATATTGCAATCTCGACACCTGAGAACCTTGGAAGGTTTCCGACCCGCATTGGTCGCCTATAAAACATCCGATTCAACCACCACGGCGAGCATTCATGCAACGTTTCTAACATCACCTTCTACCAGCCACCTTCAGTCGCTCCCCGAGCTACTTCACCATCCACCGTGGCTACTCGAACAGATAATCGGTGACGTAATCGTATGCGGAGAACCACTCACAGGCTGGGGGCGTAATCTGGTTCACAGTGCGAGTAAACATCCAAAAGATCTCGATGCAACAACATGGAAGAGGCGTTGTCAACAGATTGGGAGCGGGATCATATGTGGGCGGCGTTGCGATATTCGCTCAATCTCGGGTAGGTACCATATAAGCCGCGCAAAGGAATGCCACTCCTCTCTTATCCTCACTCTAGTATACAAGTATCTTGGTGAAAGTGAAAGAAAGGTTCTCGCCATATTTGGGTTTTCCACGTAACTCGCGATGCGCGTGATGGATCAAACACCCGGATGCACCTGCCTTTTCCTGAACCTTCCGCGCTCCGACGTACACGCAAACCTCTGCTGCAATTGGCCCTTATCAGCTCTCCCTACTCCGTTGGCTAACGACGTTCTTGATTACTCACAGTCAGCTACACGTTCCAAAAAAATGAGCTCCGAACCTCACCCTCATCAAGACGTGAAGGTGAGTAAGTTTCTACGGCTTCAGGAACCATCAAATAACAGAAACGAGCGTCGTATGAGTAGGCACGACATCCCTGAAATGCCCAGGGGCTATAATGCCCAATACACCTTCGACTTCAACGATATCAAAAAGCGCATTCTCTCCAACGCACGTGCATATTACGCGCATCGCTTCCCTGAAGCGCAACGCTACGACTTCATCACCTCATCCATCCCGCCGACCGACAGCCGAGATAGCAAAGAATACAGGGGCGGGCTGATTGTATACCCTGATCCGAAGTCAAACGACTGGGTGATGCTGTATAAGAGCCACTCCTGGCCAGCCGTAGAAGATACGGCGTTTGAGATCAAGTCCTGGCTTGAAGAGAAAATGAGGGCTGTGTTTGACAAGACGAACGAAGGCGAGAAGTGGGCCGGAACAAAGAACAAGTCTAAGGACGAACTGTCAGGCAGTGAGAGAAAGTCTACTGCGGGCGAGGACCAGATGGAGGATGTGGAAACTGCGGAGGACAGCTCCAAGTCGACAGATACTACTGCTGGCGATAGAGGTGACGGTACTGGCACCGGCGACAAAGGCGAAGATAAGGAGGTTCCAAAACAGCCAGAAGACTCCACTGCTGGTGAGCAGGCCGAGGCTACAAGCGACACCACCATGCCAATTCGGAAACGTAAGTCAGCCGCGGATGAAGAGGAGCACCGTAAGAAAAGCATGAAGAACGAAGAGGAGCAGCGTGTCTTTGTTGGCGAGAAAGATGACCCGCCTACCAAAGAAGAGAAGAAGGGCCCTGTCGAACCCGTCGTGATTACGACCGAGTTGAAGCTTCCGCCGACCACTGAGAAGTAGTCTCGGTTCCTTCGCCACCCTTGGGTGACGCGCAGAGTGGATAAACCAGTGGTTGTTTAACGGGCGATATAGCGCTGGCTTATTGCGCAGTCTGCGGAAGTGCATGTGTCCAGATAGAATGATGACCATCCTCCGGTCTTGCATAGCCACTGTGTTCGTCTCTTTACAGCTTCGCCTTCAAAACCTTACCACCTTTCCCACTTCCACCCTGCTCACTGAATCGATAAACAATATCCTCAAACCCATCCGCGGCGAATACATACAACCAGACCAAGTCCTCTTTCCCCGCATTGAAGATACCATGCTCCGCATCCCCCGGTATGAATACCACCGACCCCTTCTCAACCTCATACTTCTGCCCCTCAATACAAACCATCCCAGTACCAGAAACAACGTGGTAAATCTCTGCGTGCGTATGGCGATGCAACTTCAGAAACCCCACATCGCCCAAAGACTCCGGACTCTGCAGAGATGGACTTGGGATCCCAGAATCGCTCGTGGAAGAAGACGCGGGGCAAGCCACAACCCTTCCAGGCGGACATGTCGCAACACCCACCGTGAACGTATCCGTCTCAGTCTTCTCATTCGAAACCAGCGTTTTCCACGTCACATTGCCTCCTGTGCTGGGATCGGGGAAGCCTTCGGGTGCCATTTTGGCTATTTGTGCGGCATGCAGGACTAGAGGTTTGACAGGTCGCTTCGAGGCTGTGGAACGCATGGTGGTTTATGTTGTGTGACTGTTGATGAAGTGCGACTTTTGCTTTGGCAGGGGAGGTGCTATCCGGGGAGAGCGGTAGACTGCACGTGCGGCGCGGATGCATGCAAGGTACGTTTGGACGATGGGAGTCGGAGTTGGGCGTACGACATTGCGGATGTGCGGGATGAAGGGGGTATACATATGCATATGCATGTACTGTCGCCTTGCTACTTCTTGCGTCTTGCATCATCGGAGGAAGGCATTTCTTGCTGCTACGTCTTCTTGACATAGGTCATGTGGGGTTAGAGGGGTAGCTTGGGAGCCACACTCGGGATTGAAGTTCTAAGTCTTGCCTAGTTCGCGTCGTCAAGGGCGTATGAGAAGTTCGATCGTTTCGTGCCCGCTTCGGGCTGTCGTGATAGTTTGGCGACGGCCCGGCGGCTGCTGTTGTGCTACCGCATTTTCTGCTGTCAGGCCACATGGCATCTGTCGTAGCGACTGCCGTTGAGCCTGACTCCCCTTAGACGCATGCAGAGCATTTCGGGATATGCTGGGGTTTGATAGACTTTATTGAAAGAACATCGGGTTGCGGTTTGTCGACATGAATACCTACCTAGAAAAGTATTGATCAACGCAAACAAGGGACGCAGAGAGTCACCGCTGGAGCAAAATTAGAGTCTGGATCAGGTCTTTTGCGTCAGTACTACCCGAGCTGGCATGTCTGTATATTGATATACTGCTGTTGAGGGTAGGTCACATCGTTGATGATGTGACAGGCATGAGAGTGACATCCTAACGTACCCAGGTACTATCGTATTCCGCCTACCACATCTCCAGGTCAGATCGCTGACACCAAGGTATACCCATTGTATAGACTCCTAGCTTTTATGAGGATGGTCATGGTTATCGTGAGATAAGAGGCCGCCGTGGTCTCGCTGCTTACGGCCGTTATTACGATTTGCTTACATCGGCTGCCATGTAGGGTTCAGGCAGAGACGCAGCTAGTCGTTGATGCCCGAGGCAGCCAAAGTCATCCGACTATGCGACATGGTTCGCATAGCTGTCAGTGTGTCAACTCGTCGATGTCGCAGGGTTCGCCTGGTGTTTTGATGGGCGCTGTGCACGGTTGCTGTCCACGTTGATGCGGTCTGTCGCGAATGCACACTGACGGCATGGCGCAGACTATATCGTAGACTACTTATTCATAGCGGCAACACAAGCGCTACGACATTGAATATCGCGCAGTGGTTGCACGATCGAATCTTGAGTATACACCCATAAACCATGATGGTGGTTGCGAGTCAAGCAACTGTCATCATGGCTAGCCTGCGAGTCGCCCTTCTAGAATCAGCCCTTTCTGACTGGCTTCTTTATCAGCGGTCCGGCAAATCCGCCGCGTTTCAGAGTTTATCCCTCGTGGCCATGTGGCTTGGACCGGGCCTCGTACCATGCCTGTCGTGTTTACCGATGCCCGAACGCTGGGAAAGCTAAGGCCAATCTGTTCTGCATCTCATCATGCGCATGGCCGTCCAGTTTCGCTCCTGACAACTCCACCTCCCTACCCAACGTCTCTCGCCTACACTTTTTGTGCTACCAAAGGATGCTGCAGTCTTTATTGCGATAATGAGGTTTCAGACGTTGACGTAACGCAACGAAAACGCGCGCTGAGCGCTGCCGCTTCCACGAGGCTGTGTTTAGCCTGGATTGGCCGATCGCGATATGGCCATGGAGAAGTTTCAGAGAGGCCACCCAGCGCCCGAGCGGGTGAGGAACCGATCGGGATCTGGGACTGTGACGGGGGACAAGGCGATCGCGAAGAAGAGATCGAGTTTGGGCAGGGCGGCAGGTGGCTTTCAGAGTAGATTTCTTGCGTCGCTACGGAGTAAGAGGAAGAGTGGTGCAGACGAGGAGCTAGAGCCCAGCCCCTCGAGGTACGTACCGTGTCCACTTCACACACTGGGGAACACCACTGATCATCGCAACACAGCCCGTTTCTAGATGCATTGTTTCGGTTGCCAGATGAACTCCACATTTACATGCTGCGCGAGCTGTGCGTCTCGGATCTGCTTGCTTTGAGGAGAACGTCCCGCGTGCTCAACATGCTTGTGACAGAGAACGCACCTGCGATTGTGCGCTACTGGGTGAAGAACCGGCTCGGCAATCTTCATCTACAACTTTATCCGGCTCCAAGACCGGACGCGATCGACTTCCCGTTCTTACTCACTATGAGACGGCGACACATAGCGTCCATCAGGTTGACACGTCAGCTTGCCAATCACCTTGTAGGGGAGCCAACCGAACAGAGGCAGCTGTGGACATCAGTGTATGAGAGGATGCTGCCCCTGGTCTTTGGGGTAGGCTACTTTCTAGATGAACATCGACGACTACTTCTGGAAAGAGATCTCGGCCACATTCGACCACGCTCCCGTATTGGCTATCACGTCCGTACGACGGGTGGTATCAGTAGCCAAGAAAGGAAGATCTTGAAGAACCTGGACGCACCACTTCGACTTCAGTACTTCTACATGTACTGTTTCATTGTGCAGGTGCTGCTTCGAAAGCTGAGACCTTGCAGTCGTGCTGGAGCAGTGGAAAAGTTCCTGCGGGGATTTTCAAACCAGCCAGCCTGTTCAGAGGATGTGGCCTTCTTCCTCATACTTGGTGGCATTGGGCAAGTTGCGAAGCTCCTCGCTTGCCCGGTATATAGCGAGCGGCGAAGATATCTCCTAACGTATAGAGCTCACATGTCGCCGCATACGAGTAAATGCTGGAGAAAGCACTGGAAGGATGCTGGTGTGGTTTCACCTGCGTTACTAGACGATATTCCTTGTACACAGATTGGCATAACACAGCTTGATCAGGTCTGGGCTCCACTGATAGCCCAGATGATGGAGACGGGGGCGAGAGACTTTACAGAACAGGAAAGGATACGCTACGAGGAGCTGAAGATGTCGAAGAAGTTCATCAACGAAGTAATGGGGTATGACATCCTGCGAGGTCGGGCAGCTGACGGAGGAGAGTTGGATGATGAGCACGAGCCATGATAGCGAGTTAGCATGTACAGTACCAAGAGAAGACATTGTAGCGGCCAAACTCTGCACCTTCCTCTGTAAGAATTGACATATGTCGGTTGCCGTGCAATTTCCGCTTTGCAGCGGTTGTTGAGGCTTGTACCTGCTGGCTTGGCTTAGTTTCTGCTTCACGATGCCACCAACGGCGACGAGCCCGCAAATATTACGTACTGGTCCGGTCGCGTAGCGCGCTATGATTTCTAGCTGATCATGAAGGCCGACGGCAACTATGGACCCTGCAGCTGTCACCTAGCCGAGCGAGCAGGTGTTGCATGCGGCCAGCTTCTGTATGTTCTAACTAAAAGCTTGACATGGCGGTATATTGTGCTTGACCTTAACAGGAGGGTGTTAAGCATACCCACTCTGCTCTGGACTCTGTACAGCTCAGCACTCGGTCGAAGTGCATTCTGCCATATAGGATGCCTATTTGGGTCGGCAGAGGGCCGTCATCGGCAGACGTGTATATTGCAGTCCCCGGATTTTTTCCATTGCAATTTTCCAGCGTCCGGGTAAGTGGCGGTTAAGAGGGCCAGAATCAGACGACAGAGGCTCGAGACCCTGTAGTGGTTGGCGCAAAGGCCGAGCAGGCAGGTCGTCGTTGGAGAGGCCCACTTGGCAGCTTCCATGGCTTCCATAGGCGCCCGTGCGTGTCTTCTGGAAAGCGACGAGCGCTCGTCTGGTCTGGCGTCGGCCGATTGAGAGGCGAGGCCAGGGCCAATGGGGTACTCGACGGACTTTGCCGCCCGCGTCAATAGAGAGGCGGACAATTATTCTGCAAGTATCGCTCCACCTCATCCCACCATTGACGGGGCCAGGAGGGCGCAGAGTCTGAGGCGGGCATGACAGAGGTACCGTACGTGTTTCAGGCGATGTGTGATTGGCGGGCGTCACTGGGAGCGCTGCGTCCGTGGCAGATTGGGAATGACGTGCAACGGGCAGCGACAAAAGCAACGCGACGCGCACAAGGTGAACGTTGGGGGCGCTGATCGGTAGTGGAAGAGGCAGTCGCATCCCCTCTGGATCGGGAAGTGGCGCATCGTTCAGCGTGCAGGCGCGACCGGAGGGCGATGCACGGGGCGCGGGCTGCGTCATTGGTGGCCGATGCAACTCGAGCGACGCTCTGCATGCATGGGCCGTCCGCTCGTGTGCCTGTAACACGGCGGCATCCTTCCATCACACACGGCGCACTCGTCCAGGCACGCCCGCTGGAAGCAGTGCTGGGTGCGCGCTGCCGTCGGCTGCCCCCAGGCCGTGTCACACAGGCGTGCAGGCCGTCTAACTGTCAAGTGTGTGCTGTGTCGAGCCTGTGGCTGGGCGGCCAATGGCGCGCTGCTGATACTGACCGCAACAACAGGCCGCATTCACCCCGGCCGCAGTAGCGTCGGCTCTTGCAAAGATGCTCCGCTGCCCCCGTAATTGCTCCCAGGAATCCTCGCCATGATGTGAGCTAGATCCGCCAGGTCCTCGGCGCCGTGCGTGTCTCCAGGGCCTAAGTATGCCCCTTCGATGCCGTGCAGAGTGCCAGTCGAGTCCTAGCGCTGTGCTGTAAGCCCGTTCCATATAATCCTACGAGCCCGGCCCAACGTTTGCGACCAACACCACGATCCCCATCCGAGTGCCACTCCACCCGCGCCGTCTTCACACGCGACCTCGCCACCCTTTGTCTTCTGAAACCTGTGCACCGGTGCCTGGCGATAGCTGTCTCCTGCCACTCACAGCCCATCCACCACCACACCAGAGCAGCCCGGTCCCGACGAGCGCGGCAACTACTCCCCTCTGGGCTATCGATTGTCAGCTGAGCCACAACCCCGACCCACCACCACCCAGAGCGACCACCATGAGACGGTAGAGATAAGACAGAGAGCAGGAACCATGGACTTTACGGTAAGTTCCCGCGCGCTTACACTCGTCGGCCATGTCACGAGCCCGGCTAACGCGACCTCAGATCTCCCTCGCACACTTCTGCGAGACCCACGGTCCGACATCCATCATCTGCACCCAGGCCTCGACCTCGCCCTGCGGCTCCTGCAACCCATGTGTGACGCCGCCTTCCGAAGAGCCGCATTCGGCCTACTCCTACAACGGCCTGTACGATCAGCCCACCACCCTCAAGCTTAACGCGCGCCTGCCACAGCTCACCTCGCCCTTCGAGTCGCCGCCCAACAGCCCGCGCTCCCCCACGCACAACCCATACTTTCCGAGCTTTCCCTCCTCTTCCGGCAGTAGTTTTGGCGGACGGAGAACCAGCAGCACCATCGACTCCGACTCGGACGCCTGCGAGAACTGCCAGATGGTAGTGCCCCAGAAGTACAGCGACAAGATCCCCAACGGCGCTCCTGGTAGTCCCACGAAAGACGGGCGAGGAAGAAACGGCAGCCCGGTACTGCGTAGCTCCCAGAACTACCCCGTGCGACGACCAGTGTCCCGGGACGACCTCAGTAGCACGGATTCGTCCGATGTCTCAGACACAGAGCAGTCGACTTCCTACCAGAGCGGCGCCTCGGGCTCGTTCCCAGACTCAATACCTCCCTCACCAATGCTCGTGTCGAGAGGCATACACACCCACACATTGAACTACATCTCCACCAGTCAGCCGCAGTCGCCCAGCACCTACTCGCTCTTGCGACGCACCTGCATCCGTACATTGTCCACCGAGGTCCTTCCCCTTAGCAAGCCGTCTGGGCCCATCATGTTCGGAGACTCAGTCGCTGGCTACACCATCGCGTACGTGTTTCGTCTGCAGGATCCGCGGTCGCGAGGAGCTAAGCGCACCTACGCCTTCATCGCCATGGCCGGTCGCGATTACCGGAGAGCCACAAAGGCCATGGTGAAGATCATCGAAGCCTTTGAGGGCATCGCCAACCGGATCATCTCCCTGGCTGATAGAGTCCTTGAACGTGAGAGTGCAGCTTCCCAGGTCCTGTCACGTCCCACCACCGCCATATCTGGAAACACACCTCCTCTTGGAACCTCCGCCTCTTCCATGCCACCCAACTTCTCTGCACCGCACAAAGAACGGACCTTCTCCACGACGAGCACCCCCAACTTCCGCAACATCACACCTGTGTCCTCTTTCCTGTCCGCCAAGAAGGTTGACCCAGATGGCTTTCCCCGTGTGTCTCGCGACGTGATGAAGGCAAAGAGCCTCGTCGAGATCGTCGGTCAGGAGAACTTCTTTGTCGACCTCCATGGACTCTTCTGCCATCTTCTGCACTCTCTCATCAAGCAGTTCGGTTGATGCATCCCTTCCACGTCGCTTTGCTTCGTTCATACGTCTTTTCCTTCCTTGTATGTCTTTCTATTGTTTTATGTCGTGCGTTACAGCGTCTTCGTCCATTATACAGTGCGGTTAAGCACAGGCGTTGGGGCAGGTGTGATTGCTTTAAAAGACCTTCGAGTCGTCAGAGCTCAAGTAGCTTTATACCCTTTTGAGATACCCCAGGCTTCTCTTTCTGTCGTTGGGATCGAGTAGTACACATTAGACGTGGACTCATCTTTACAATGGCGTTTCGGGGTGAGTAATCGGGGACGAGAGGAGGTGTTCACGATGGTACGGTCGTTGCTAGGATATGACCATGATGTTGATGGCGTGATTGCCGCGATGGATTAGGTGATGGTAGTCTAGCCTGTTTGTAGAACGAAACTGCACAATACCGTTTACCTATTGTTCTTTGACGTGTTTTGTTGTTTGCTAGTGTGGTACTGCTTCAAGTCCAAGAGGGAGTATGTGAATATGCGTGACACCATCACGGTGCTATCAAGTAAAGGTCAAAGGTAAAGGTGAGTTGCAAGCACGCGAACTGAACGCCTGACGTTTGGGAGAGAGTCACTACCTAGGTATCAGCTCATCACAAGAGATGCCCTCAAGGCAGACGCGTCCCAAAGCAGACGAGGCAGACGAGCAAACGTGGTGTGCGCTTTTCTGGTTAGCGCAGGCACGCATGAGGCTGAACACGTGGAAGCCGCGAGCGACAACATTGAATGCTCTTTACCATATCCACCCAGTCGCAGTAACTATATCCATGGGGTATGCTCTAATGACAGATGCAAAATTTCATCACTCTCACACGAGCATCGCGGCTTACTTGCCACGAAAAGAATTCCACGATAAATCGCTTATGCCTGCTCGCTCCACCACCGTCTCCGCATTATGCACGACACGCAAAACTGGTCCACATTTCGCGTTCCGCTTTCCGGTCCCAAGCTTGGAAAAAGATTATCCAGAAGCATCGAGATTCGCAGATCAAACTACCTAGTGATGCGTCATACCGGGTAAAATCCCCTTGGAAGTCAACGATGTGTGATGTCATAGGTGTGGTGGATCGTCAAACAGCGCTTGAACAACGCGCTTCCACGGCCAGTGATTAAATGGTAGCAGAAGCAACGTCTCCGCATCGTTTGATAGGACGCATTATTATTCTTGATCAATTAAGGCTTTTATTTCCGCAGCCCACGCGGCAGCAGGGCCAAAGCCAAGTTTAAGTGCCCGAAAGCCAAGTTTTTGGAAGTTTGGCAACCCGTTTGGGATGCAGCATCGTTTGATAATGCTCGTTCAAGATGCTCAGTTGCTGATAGGGCAGATATGCAGATATGATGTGGCTTGTGGTTCTCCATGACGACTCCCATAATCATGCCCCGCGGCTTCCTCTGCGGATTCCGAGAACCTACTTAAGACTTGCCTACCTTCCAAGGTCGTGGCGTCGTCACCTTTACAAGCCTCAATACGCTACAATAATCATTACAGTTCTTAAACCACTAAGTCTACGCCACGATCCGTACAAGCCGCACCTGTAAGACTACCAATCTAGATCGCACCAGTCTCCCGCTTATACTCGTCATCCAGACATCTAGCCTTCCCGCACTTCACAAGGTTAAAACAAGATGAACTCCATCCCAGGAAATGCTTCCCAAGGACCCACCAGCCAGGACACATCGACGACGGGTGTTCAGCAGAACCAAGCGCAGCGCGAAGA